TGTTAATTTTAAAGAGAACATAAAAACTTGCACAAACTAATATGAAACAGAGAAAACAAAGGAAAAAAGAAGACTTAATGGAGGTTGCAAGTGCAGTACAACCTCATATCTTTTTGTAAGGACCTAAATATGTGGTTTTGCCAGTCAGCTTGTGGCACCAGTAGGGGATCAGCACAATGAAGGTGATTGATTGAGTAGTAATAGATCTCATCTTCTCCCACTCCACTCCGCCCCCACCCTCCCCCACGTGTCTTTGGTTTTTTTCTTTGTTTTTTTATATTTTATGTTTTAGCTTTTATGTAACTCGAAGCCGCCCAGAGTTACCCTATGGTAAGATGGGCAGCCAATAAAATGAATGAACAAAAGAACAAATGAATAAATAATAAAATTTCATATAGTAGCAAAGTAATTCTTAGAAATCATCTGATGCAGGTTAGAACCAGATGTTCTAGCTGCCTTTTGAAAAGACTAACATAAGACATAATTTTGATACATGCTGGATCATTGAGATAGCCAAAGAAAATATCCAAACAGAAGTCAACCAGCCTCTACTGCCTTCCCTTCTTTCTTTTGGAATAGTAGTTATATTTGTGGGTTATGAGTGTGTCACTTTCCTTGATCAAAATCAGTAATTAATTGGCTTTGGTTGGCCTATGCTTATTTGAACAAAAAAGTACAGTACAGAATCAGATGTGCAGAAAAATCCTAGCTTCATTGAATTCATTATCTCTCTTGCTGATACTATTTTACAATAATACCTTGCAGCAATATTTTTTTTCCTGCTCGTGGTCCTATCCATTTCTTGAGGCTCCTTGCAGTGCTTTGAAAGGTATGTAGCATACTAAAAAGGTTCTCTTTTTTTGCCAAGAGTTGTGCTTTGCATTTTGAAAGAAAAGACTTAATTAAAATGTGAATTCCTAAGCCACCTGCTGGGGCTTGCCATCATCTTTAAATGCATTGTTACTTAAGAATGATGTGCTTTGGCTTAAAGTACAGAAAAGAAAAACACCATCCATATTTTTTTTCCTGCTGTGATGAATACTTTTGTCTCATCATTCCGCCCACCTTGTCACTTTCTTCCCCAAACAGCATGGAATTTCTCTTTTTTGTTGTTTAATAACATTAGATTAATTAGATTATTCTACATCTGGTGCTTTAGCATTTCTGATCTGGATATTTAAAAAAATTTANCCTGCCCCTATCTATTCTCTGCCTCCCGAGTCCCAGCTGATCAGAAGGAAATGGCGATTTTGCAGTAACCTTCCCTTGCCACGCCCACCAAGCCATTCTACGCCCACCAAGCCATGCCCACAGAACTGGTAGTAAAAAAAAATTCAATCCCACTACTGACTTCACTTTGCTCTTAAGAAGCAACAAATGGTAAGACCCCCAGAGACACGTTTTATTTTTCCAGAAGATCTAGCAAGAGATGCTTTCCAAAGGAAGAGATCTGGCTTTGCAAAGGAAGGTGTACAAACTCATTAATATTTTGGGGCATGTGCTGTTACCCTGTTCAGAGTGTGATAAGAAACAAGTGTTTCGCTGTGGCAGGAGTTTTCAGTGCTTGTTCTCTGTGTACTAAGGATTTTTTTTCCCATCTGCCCTGGATTAGCAATACAGGTAGTCAAGTTTGCTTAGTGACTGTTCAAAGTTACAATGGCATTGAAAAAAGTGACTTACGACCATTTTTCATGCTTATGACCATTGCAGCATCCTCATGGTCATGTAATTTACATTTGGATGTTTGAGAACTGTCGCACATCTATGAAAGTTGCAGTGCCCCAGGATCACGTGATCATTTTTTGCAACCTTCTGACCAGCCAAGTCAATTGGGAAGGCCAGATTCATTTAACAACCATATTACAAACTTAACAACTGCAGTGATTCACTTAACAAATGTGGCAAGAAAAATCGTAAAATGGGGCAAAACCCACTTAAAAAATTTCTCACTTAGCAACATAAATTTTGAGCTCAAATGTGGTTATAAGTTAAGGACTACCTTATAGACAACTTGAAAAAGGGGCAAGAGAGAATGCATGGTCCCTATTTCCTTGACATTTTCAAAAGTCTTTAACTGCTATATTACGTCCAGTGATAGTTCCCTTGAAACCTATTTTGGCCAAATACTAAAATAGCCCTACTGACCAGTTTTGTGGAAAAGGCAGGAAGCTTCAATACACACAATATAATTTTGTTTGATTAAAGGGTACCTTTCATTTGGAGGCCAATGCGAGGAAAATTTCTGTTCTCATCTAGAGTTTCTATTACTATAATGGGTATGTGTGCTGTTTCAAAGGAACTTGCTGAAATGACTTCTAAAAATACTTCGGAAGTGACAATGCCTCATGCATAATCACACAGAAATGTATTAAAAATAGAGACTGGGAAAAATACTAAATTGATTTATATCAGCAAAGACTTGTTGGATTCAAACTAAATCTTTTCAGGCAAACTTTTAGCTGTGTAACGTGAACGGTCAAATATTAGGTGTAGCCAAAGAAGCAATGGTTGAGAAATTTCATTTTTGCTAAATCCAATACCAAAAAAATGCTGATTTAAATAAAAAGGCAGGTTTTTTTTAAAACAACAATAACAATGGTTTAATGGAAAAATGAATTGAGATGTGATTATAAATTACTAAAAAAATTAACCCAGAAGGAAAATTGAATGATTCACTCATCCTTACCTAATTTCAGGAAATTTATCATCCATGTTAAGAGTATTGCACATATGTAAGTTTTCCAGGTATCCTGCAAATGCTTTAATTTTAAATTAAGGTTGTCATCTCTCTCCTTCTTTCTCTATCTGCTGATATCATCCCTTTATTTTTCATCTTTCATTCCTTCACCTCTATTTTAGGCACGGATCAGAAAATTTGGGCCCAAGATTTTACAGTTGTTAACAGAATGGACGGAAACATTTCCCTATGATTTTCAGGAAGAAAAGATGATTGGATGTTTGAAAGACATCATCCATCGGATAGCTCCGTGTGATGAGGTGAGGATGATCACAGGTAGGATGTGCTGGGAATTTATATCACCAAGATAAATGGCAGGTGCTGGAAGGATGGATAGAAGGATGATGTGATGGGTAGCAATGATGATGTGTTATCCGCCCAGAGTCTCTAGGGAGTGGGCGGCATACAAATCCTAATAAACCTTAACATACAAATCCTAATTAACTATTAGGAGCCATGGTGGTGCAGTGGTTAGAGTACAGGTATGCAGTCTACTTCTGCTGACTGCCTGCTGCCTGCAATTTGGCAGTTCAAATCTCACCAGGCTCAAGGTTGACTCAGCCTTCCATCCGTCCTAGGTGGGTAAAATGAGGACCGAGATTGTTGTGGGGTAATATGCTGACTCTGTAAACCACTTAGAGGGGGCTGTAAAAGCACTGTGAAGCAGTATATAAGTCTAA